CAGATTGGCGTGTAACCGGCGGTTTACGTTGCATACGCCCTTCGACTAACGCCTGTCACACATCTGGTTAGTTGCCGCTTAGATGCAATGCAATGGCGTTCTGGAGGGCGTGACTACGATGACACAAAAAGGCTGTAGGAGTATCCGTCAAATGCGAAGGACTTACCCTGGTTGACAGTGACTGGATCCCTCCCGTAAGGCGAGGGAGCAACGACTTCGTGGCATCATCTAAGTCACGGACCAGTACATAGATGGTCTCAAAGAGACGCACAATGTCGGCTAGTGACGCCTCTGATGATCCCGGCTCAATGGTAGAAATTTGATTCACTATCTCCAGTTGTGAAATCTGCTCCTCCTGGCGTCTGAGGGACTCATCCACTTGGTCCTTGTAATCAGATTGCTGGGCCGTAGGACATGGAGATCTATCACCTGAAGATTCCACTGAAATTGCAAAAATGATACTATTGGCTTCTGGAGAGTTATATACAATATGGCAAGTGCTGCAAACAAAAGTCATGACAAAAATTAAATTGGCCATGACATTTTGACCCTCTGAGTAGGCTTAATCCTGCGAAAGCATGCTTGGTAGGAAAATCGCCCTTTTAATTAAGTTTAGTCAGAGTACTTTGCATTAATTTTGGCGAAATTGGGAGTAGTCGCATATCAAATGAATCTCCTATGGTAGTAAGCACGACAGAACCAAACCTTTTCTAAACATGCATTAGTCTATTATAAAATTCTACAAAATACAGTAACCAAAAAGTTTTGGTCGCATTTTGTTTAAGCACATCGCCTAGATGGCGCACGAGCAAAATGCCCATATACTTTACCGTGAAGGTAATGTAAAACAGGCCTCATTAAATGTAACTAATGTAGAAATATACTTCTTTGTACACCATACATTCCGCGTATGGGTTAGTTAGAAACGGGAGAGACAGAAGAATAATAATTATCTGCGCATGTCTCGGACTTTTCTGCGATCAACTATGATTAAGGATTCCCGACGGAATCCGAAACGTCAGGACAATAAAACTCCTGTTCCAGTGATCGCTTCTTCTTCTGAACTGCTTCCCGGAACTCACATATTCAGTTATATTGTTAATAATAATTATGGAAATATCTAATTATAGATATGGCCACGCTTTTTTGAATTCGCAAGCTTAGAACAGACCCTGGGAGTAGTCCACTATGGCGAAAAATAATCCAATATAAGGATAAAAGTGAGCTCTTTCATTCTCAGTCGAAGCGAATCATTTATCTTGAAGTAAATTCTAAAAAATTGTCAAGAATCTTCATTTTCGATTGATATTACCTTAGATCAAGCGAATATACGCCGAAATTCGTCAGTTAAATATCTATTCAAAGCGCTTTTTAAAGAGGTACTCTATTATGGAAAGCGTTTTTTTAACAATCTTAGGAATAACAATATCAGAATTATGGTGCGGACGCTCTTTTTGTTCGACAATGCGGTTTGTTGTTTTGAGGCATTTGTAAATATGGTCCACACGACCGTCTTCATAACAACTAATATCCAGAAATTCATTCTTTTAGTAAATGCTATTGATGTATATCTTATTTTGAAGGTTTTCATGTAAACTTCGAACGGAATCTCAATTGATGGAGGACCAGATGAAGACACCGAAACGTTCGAAAATATGATAGAATTTAAAGGACGATATTGGATAAAAAGTTATTCATTAACCGTAATGCTGTTCATGCAGTCCTGGAAGGATGCGGAGCGGTAAACTGGCAGCGGCAGTCCCTTTTGTGTGTGTGTGTACCTGTGTACATCGGGGCTACTGCTATTGCCGGTCCCATCAGTATGTGTGTGCCCGTGTATGCGAGCATCATCACTGCTGTGTGTGTGTGTCCGTGTTTGACACTAGGAAGGCGGGTTACCCAGGAAAGGAGAATTACCCGTTAGCCTAGCTGCTGGCTACCTGGCGCGTCCACAGATGGCGGATAGTGCC